GCCATAACAACCAGTTGACCAATCAACACAGGGCAAGCCCTCCAAGCCTGGAGGCACACCAATCGTGAGCCTGTGCGTACCCCTAGACACTCCCCTTACGCTGCCCTATAAGATCTTTTGGGAGGCCCTAGGAGCCGTCTTTTCTGGCCATCCACCATGGCTGGTGGGTGAAAGACCCGAGCTAACATGGGGTTAGCTCGTTAAATTACAATAAAGCCTCGTGCAGTTTGCAGCAAGCTCTCGAATCTGCCTGGTGATTGGGGTGACCTCGAACGTGGCCTGGGACCCTGGATACTTGAGTTTTCGGGGGTCTAACAATACTATCAAGTCATCTCAACGTTGCTTAACAGTTGAGCTGTCACTGTTTAAGATAATCATTGGCTGACCACTGTCCCCAACTAATATGTATCTCATACCATTGGACTTCAGCAGCATCCAAACTGGTCTATATTTTGGTCACCCCAAGAGTTCCTTGACAGAGACATGGATTTCTACTAGTATCAAATTCTATACACAGCTGTCATGAATCAGTAATTTATGGACCACAAATTCAACAGAAAAGAACAAATAGAATTCTCACTTGTTTCTTCACAAGCACCTTTGGTCACCATCCATTTTAAAGAAACTTAATCCTGACTATTAATTCTAGGCAGGGCTAAGACAAATGGGACCAACTAACAAAAGGGCCATGCTATGTTAAATTGTAGGCACTCATGTTTTAGTTTAAAGTTGAAATATTTAAGGTCAATCAATACATGTTACTTCTTTGTTACCCTGAAAGTAACAAAGGTATATTCTGGAACTGCACAGAATACATCACAGTAGAAAACACATGGTACTAATGTGAACAAGCCTCACCATGCTGAACCAAATGTGTACCAAGGAAGACCACTGCTCAGTTAACTTTGTCAGAACTGCAGAGGTTAAATACACTTCCTTCTCCAGAGCACTGACCCTGCACAGCCCTGAGTCAAGAAAGGAGACCTTGGAAGTAGGAGAAAAACTACTAGCTTGATTATTGTGCTAGTTTACATGTAACTGGCCCCCATAAGCTCACAGGAGGCGGCACTATTAGGTGTGTCTTTGTTGGGAGTAGGTATGGATTTGTTTGTTGGAAGGAAAGAAGTCACTGTGGAGGGAACGTAACACTGTGACTTCAGAGAGGACCTGAATGCATAGTTTATACTTGCTTTGGACTGATCAAGAACAATCTTTATCGAGTAATAGTGAAGTCACTACAAACCTGAAAAGGTGCTCTCCCATACTATTGCAAATTACTTCATCATCAGGAAATAGCTCCAAGGCCTGCTCATAGCAACCAAGTAAGTCTTGTATTCGACTAAGTGCATCAAGCTCTTCAGCCCACTTGAAAAGTGTATACTGAAAAGTTTCCTTTGCAAACAAGAAAAAAAAAATACAAATTAGTAAACAAGAATGAAAAACACACAACTCTAACTGAAGATTCCAGCAAATGAAACTATAACTGAATGATGACCTGAAATTGCTAATTTTTAAGTATTGTCTGCCAATGTGGTGGTTTTAATAAGAATGCCCCCCACCCCCCCCACCCCCGTTAGCTCATATATTGGAATGCTTAGTCACCAAGGAGTAGCACTTGTTTGAGAAGGATTAGGAAGTATGGCCTTGTTGGAGGAAGTATGTCACTGTGGATGGGCTTTGAGGTTTCAAAAGCCCAAGTCAAATCCAGTGTCTGTCTGTCTCTGTCAGTCTCACACCCCTTCCTTCCTGCAGATCAGGATGTAGCTCTAAGTTATTACTCCAATGCCATGCACGCCACCATGCTCCCCACCAGGATGATAATGGACCAAACTTCTGAAACTGCAAGCAAGCCCCCAATTAAATACTTTCTCTTACAAGAGTTGCCTTGGTCATGGTGTCTTCACAGCAATAGAACAGTGACTAAGACACCAAATAAGCACATGCAAAAAAAAAAAAAAAAAAGTAGAATTAGGCAGTATGATCTTCCTGAAAACATCTGTTCTTAGCTGCCTTTCCCTGACTTCTGCTTTTTGGCTTTTTGCAGGCAGAGCTATGTATGCATCAGGAGTGTTCTTGGCCCTCTTATTCATCCCTAGGGTACAATCATGTATGTGTTAATGATGCAACATGTAAATTTCTACTTTGTTTGTTTTGGGTTTTTCGAGACAGGGTTTCTATGTGTAACTTTGGAGTCTGTCCTGGAACTCACTCTGTAGACCAGGCTGGCCTCGAATTCAGAGATCCACCAGCCTCTGACTCCCAAGTACTGGGATTAAAGGCATTCACCACCACTGCCTGGCTGTACCTAACTACTTAATACCTTGTTTTCTGGTCCTCATACTCCTGCTACCTCTACCTGTCAGGCACTGGGTCTTCAGTCATCTGATCAATCAATGTGCAAGGAACCAGAACTAAAACTCAATGATGAACATGAATTTTGCTCCTATTCTCACAGAATCGTGTAGGCAGAAATTTAACAATCTTTAAAAAGTTCAACATGTTCTCGCCGGGCATTGGTGGCACACGCCTTTAATCCCAGCACTCGGGAGGCAGAGGCAGTGGATCGCTGTGAGCTCAAGGCCAGCCTGGTCACCAGAGCCAGTGCCAGGATAGGCTCCAAAGCTACACAGAGAAACCCTGTCTTGAAAAACAAACAAACAAAAAAAGTTCAAATGTTCTCAACTGTCCTACCACATTCCCTTCACAGGAGACAAAAGTATCATTCAATCTCAAACCACAATGTCACTATTTGCTGTAAATTTCCTCCAAGATTAAAACATTCCATCCTGAGAGAAAGATCTTTAAAACAGAAGGTAAACTATTCAAGATAGCTTCAAGAAGTCCCTGAAACTGACCAGATCCACTACGTCCCTCCCTCCTGAGAAAGAGGTATAGACCAGAGTCACTTGGAAAGACACTTTCCAATCTGTTGGGCTGCCAGCAGGCCTTGAAGACTGCTCCAGGTTTCCAGCTTTGTGAGCTGCCATCTATGGTGAGGTGGGTTTTGATGATACAGCTGTCTTAAAGTTATTTCTGGCCCTGTAAGTAAACCCAATAAAACTCAAAGGTTCATTAAGTTGGACTTCGGTGGTATCCAGTTTTGGTTTGTCATGGGATCCCTACCTGGGCTGAAGAGACATGTGTTATATCCCCCAAAGTTTTGTCATAAACCATCTTTAAATCTGCCACTTCCTGACAATCTCTACTGCTACAGCCTAACCTGAGCCTTAAGCACTTGGTGGAGTGCAGCAATTGCCTTCTCACTGCCAGCTGAGCTCCAGTGTCATCTTCCTGCAGCTGTTTTCCACTGCACTATAGAAAGAAGGCAGTGTTCAAAAAAACAAACTTTACACATAAGAGTTAATATCAGAAGCTATATTACAAATGCTTACTAGAAAGGCAAGGATAATGAAAGAGAGCTCATTATATGACACATAGTCTAGATATTTAGATATTATATGAATGGACCAAGAGTTGTTCTATAGGTTAATAGACTGCTCAGTGGTTGAGCACTCTTTCCTAGGATGCTTAAGGCCCTGGTTTTGGTCCCCGGCAACAGCAAAAATAAGTAAATAAATAAAATGACTAAGTCAGGTAGTGGTGGTTGGTGGCACTCAGGAGACAGAGGCAGGTGGATCTCTGTGAGTTCAAGGCCAACCTGGTCTACAGAGTGAGTTCCAGGGCAGCTAGGGTAGGAAGCTAGTTACTAAGTCCTATTGAATGCTGGTCATTATCAGCCTGTTTGTTTTTAATAAAAAAAAAAAAAATAGGACAGGGTTGCATACAACCCTCCCTCAAATTCACCTGGCACCTAATGGTTCCCCAGCCTGTACCTCCCAAGTGCTGGGATTATAGCTGTGTGCTGCTACACTAGGCTTAGACCCCAAACTTGTTAGACATGATTCTATCAACAGAGCTATGTCTCCAGCCATATAGTCAAATTTTACATATTTTTTCTGTACTGGGAATGGAACCCAGAGCATCACACTCAGGGCCATTCTATGGCAAGCTGTTGTACAGACCTATCCTCAAAGCCAAACAACTGCTATTTTGGAGGGGAGTTTAGCTGCGCCCACTTGCAAAGATAATACCAGACAGACTTGTCTGTTTAATTCTCTATTGGAAAGGCAGGCTGGGCCATGAGACCCTCACCTGAGTAACCTGCAGTTCACACCACACATTATATCCAACATTGCCCTAACTACATGGTCTCAAGTAGAGTCTAGAGCTGTGTTTCCCAACTTCCTAATGCTGCAACCCTTTAATACAGTTCCTCATGTTGGGATAACTCCAACCACATAATTATTTTTGTTGCTACTTCGTAACTGTAATTTTGCTATTGTTATTAATCATAATGTAAATATCTGATATGTGACCCCTGTAAAAGGATCATTCAAGCCCCAAAGGAGCCACAACCCACAGGCTGAGAACCTCTGGTGTAGAGTATAAGCCAAGGAAGACAGTGGAAGATGGCAGTTAGAGTCCAGCTATACAGCTCTGAGAAAGCTACCATTCCTGCTGGGTAAAGGCTTTCCAGTGCAGCCTTTTGTGCAGAGAGCTCCCACACTCCAGTGAGTAGTCCCTCATCTATGCTCTGCTCTTTAAGTAAGCCCATTGAACACACTGGCTCCCCAGAGACCTCAGTTTGTTGTTGGGATCTTAGGAGGATGGCTTATGTCTTCCCCTGAATAAGCATTTTACCAACACAAGCATTCTACCAATGACCTACACCTACAGCCAAATTTTATGTGTACTTCCTTTTTTTGTTTGTTTTGTTGGTGGTGGTGGTGGTGTTTTGTTTTATTTTTTGAGATAGGGTTTCTCTGTGGCTTTGGAGGCTGTCCTGGAACTAGCTCTTGTAGACCAGGCTGGTCTCGAACTCAGAGGTCCACCTGCCTCTGCCTCCCAGTAGGGAATTTACTCCCATTGTAGTTAGATGCTAGAAGTGTCTCAGTCTGTCTGTCTGTGTCTGTCCCTCTGCCCCCCTCTCTCCCACCGCCTCACAGACAGACAGACAGACAGACAGACAGACAGACACACACACACACACACACGCACACACGCACACACGCACACACGCACACACGCACACACGCACACCAAACCACACTCCTGTCGCTGTTATGGTCGCAGGCTCTGACAGCCACTGAGAGAAGGCAGGCCTCACCTTCACGTCTTCTTTGAGCTCTGGCGCCAGGCTGAGCACTAGGAGGTAATGGGCATAAGCAGTGCCGAAGTCCTGGGCGCCCAGACAGTGCTCAGCGCTCTGCAAGGACCGCGCCACCAGGCGGTCCCTGCCGACCGCCCCTGCGCCATCCCCGGAGCCCCGGCGAGGCCTGGGCCTCGAGTTCGGCATGGCTGTCTCCGCTCGGAAGACCTCGAGGAAGACTCCCTCCTACGGGAAAAGAGCCTCTCGACGCCTCCCTTCCCGGGCACCCAACAGGGAGCAGAAGGAAAGCGCGCTCAGCCCTCCACACAGCGACGCTCCGCCTTCTCAGCCTCAGGCAGAGCTGCGTACGCAACCAGAGGAGACGCACAGTGATGACGCAACGCGGGCGCGCGCTCTCTCTCGGGGAAAGCCTGCCCCCCGCCCCGCCCCCACACCACTCGCGGTGCCTGCGAAGTACCTGGGCTGCGAGCCCCTTGTGTTTGTTCGGTGGATTCGGTGTCGGGTTCTTTGGGCTGAAACCGAAAGGTTCGTCTCACTCTCCCAGCTGCGAGTGCCAGACCCTGCGTGGGGCAGCCGTCTGCGACGCTAAGGCTCTCTGGAGCTCAGCGCGCCAGCCTCGCTATAGCAAAACCAAGTCAAAGCTCCTTCAATTTGGTCATGGGGTACTCTCACAGCGTCAAGTATTCTCACAAAACCCGGTGAGGCAGGACTTGGCATAGGAGAAGGAAAAGGCAGTCTCTGAGAACTGCTTCAAGGTTGCACAAGTCCGTGGGATGGGTGTGGCCGAATCCGAATTTCCCGATGACTTGTTACATTAATACAGAAGACTTAGGTCACATGTGCCGCTAAGATATAAATCCGAAAGTTTTGAACGATGTATAGGAATTAGAGCATTAGCTATTTTTGTCCCCATTTCCACAAGATTAGTAGTGTGTAGAGTGACTAACAAGAAATGAAGGTCAGAGCAATTTGGATATCAAACTAAAATTCTCCGGTGCTCCCCAAGTCGACTTTTGTGTACCTTTTTGCTGTCTCTTGTTGTATTCTCTGACCCACTCTTGTGAGCACCTACCTATGTACATCCTAAGAAAGTTCTTCAAGACAGGAACTATTCTCAGTTTTTCTAGTATGTACAAAATTAGTATTTTTACACTTGATGGAAAGCGTTCCTCCTGCTTTTTAGTTTTGCTTGTGTACTGTCCTGCTTTCTGTACTAAGCAATGTAGGACTTAACTATACAGTATTTCTCTAAGAAGATGGAAACGAAGGAAGCCTCTACACCTAATGGGATGGAGTAGAACAAAAAGACCAATAAACTTCGGGGAAGGGTCTTGTTCCAGTCCATGCTTTTCCCCTTTTTGTTCATCTAATAACCCTTAAGACATTAAGAAAGACCCACTAAAGCTATCTTCCTGGCATAAGTCAAAAGATTGCTCTAACTATACAATGAAATAATCTATAAAAAGCATTTTACTGATACATACATAGTTAATGTAATTCAATGCTACCATTATCTAGAAACATTTAGAAATCATCTAAACTTTTTAAAAAGCTATTACACCTGTAATAGCTGTAAACATTTAACCAAATAGGTATGATGTTATTTGCATGGTATAAAAGTCAGAGGTGACAGGCTGCAGCTGAGTAGGGAGAGATATCCCAGTCCTTCTTTCCAGAGACTTGTAATGGAAAGATGCTGGTTTGGTGTTAATTTTTAATTTACCAGAATGCTCCGGGAGACTGGTCTCTGGTCATATCTGTGGGTGATTATCTAGATTACTTTAATTGAGGTAGGGAGACTTACCCACTGCAGGTAACACCATTGGCTGGCTGAGATCATAGGTTGTATAGGTGGAGAAAGGAAACTGAGCCACAGTGTGCATTCATCACTCTCTGTTCCCTGATTGTGACAATCATATGACCAGCTACTGCATTCTGTGCTGACCTGGCTTCCCTACAATCTCTTTCTCCCTTAAATTCCTATAGTCAGAGTCTTTCATCACTGTGAGAGACAAAGTTACATTTTAAATTTTAATTACTATGCCTAAGATATCCATGAAATAACAATGCCTCTGATCTACAAGCCCCTTGCCCAAGGACAGAGATAGTTCCTGAAATGCTGGAGGCTACTGTTTATATAACTACTCTAAACAAGTTTGTCTGACATATTTGCACAGGATATGCTTGATCACATGTGGATGGAAGGTTCACAGGATGGAGGTATGTCAGGATGTATGCGCTTGGACCTGATGGGAAATGCAATGAATTATGGGTTTTCATTCTAAAGACGCTACAAACTGTGACCCTAGGCCATTTCCCAGGAACCTGGGTTTGGACCCAGCCAGAGCCCATCCACCTGACCAGTATTTAATTAAAGGTTGCTTCAAATTTGGCTTTAAACTGTGTTAATGGTCTTATTCTCAACCAGTGGAATTAGCAATCACAGCAACAGGAAAAGACAGAGAGTGGTGTGATTGAACACTTAGTCCCTAGCTGGTAGTACTATTTGGGAAGATGGTAGTGAAAGGGTTTCCATGTCCCAATATTAAGTTTCTCTGCCGATGCAATAAATCAGATCAGGCTGAATTAAGTAGAACAGGTTTAATATGACCAAAGCAACTCCCAGATGATCTTGGGGAAAAGAGAAATCACTCCGCAGGTCTATGGGCTGGGTCTTAAATACACTGTGGGTGTGGTCTTGAGCATCACAGGGGGAGAAACCATCACTTGGCTTGGCTTTCTCAGGGCCCGGAAGAAGAGAGAAGAGGGAGGGAGAGAGAGAGAGAGAGAGAGAGAGAGAGAGGTGGGGCTGAAGTGGAGCTTCCACCTAAACAGGCAGAACTTCAGGAATTGGGTCACTAAAGTTCAGCCTCGAATTTGATAGACTAGCCCAACTCTCCCTTCTTGACAATTCAATGAGATCAGCTATCCCTGGTTCTTGCCACCAGGCCTTCCTGGCTATGAAAGATTGTGTTCCCTAACAGAAATCACCCCTTCTTCCTATAACATACTTATTGTCAGGTATTTTCCCAGAAACAGGAAAAGTAACTACTACAGGGAGATCATTCTGATCACCACCTGAGTTTCAGCTTTGGCTGAGTTACTTCATTTGACAAATTCTTCTACTGTTGGCATGCTTTCCCCTTCCACAGGGCAGGTTCTCTTGTGTTCTGGGTTTTGTTTTTTGTTTGTTTTTGTTTTTTTCTGCTTGATTCCTTGGCATGACCCAAGTACCTAAAATATAGAATATTAGTTGAAGATGTGTTACATTTGTTCATGCTGCGGAACATTTGCTTAATGATGCAATGATGTGTTGCATTCTTTTATGTTACATTTGTTTAACTGTAAGCCCCCAAAGCCACAGAGAAACCCTGTCTCAAAACCCAACCCCTCCCCCCCAAAAAAGGCTGTTAATTTGCCTGTCTAAAGCACCTGATTGCTCGAATAAAGAGCTGAATGGCTAATAGCAAGACAGGAGAAAGGACAGGTGGGGCTGGTGCGCAGAGAGAATAAATAGGAGGAGGAACCTGGGAAAAGAAAAGATCAAGGAGTGAGAAAAGAAGGAGCCAGGCAGACAAACAGATAGACAGACAGACAGACACAGAATAAGAAGGAAAGAAAAGATACAGAAATAGAGAAAGGTGAAAGTTCAGAGTCAAAAGGTAGATGGGTTAATTTAAGAAAAACTGGCTATAAATAAGTCAAGCTTCTGCTGGTGCATTCATAAGAAAGAATAAGCCTCCATGTATTTATTTGGGAGCTGGGTGATAGGCTCCCCACAGAGTAAAAAACACCAACAACAATACATGAATGAAACTTAGGAGGGATGTGTTTCCTTGACAGAAACATGGGAGGAAAGAAGAAGCCATAGAAAATTAAAATTTCTGCGGAAAAAAATCCAACACCACACTTCTCTACTGTGGAATTTATTTAATATGCTCAGTAAAGTGGGCCAGTTTCATTTTCACCAATCCTTTTTCACTCACTTTCCACCACTGGGGGTTGGGCTCCTCTTCCGGGGGTTCCTCAGATGCCTTCTCGAGGTGTCAGTGATGAACCCGGGAAGAAATACAGCGTCTTTAACAGCAGGAGAATCACAGTCTAAGGTCCTTTCTATCTAGGCTAAAGCTGGTCAGTTTTGAAGTGGCAGACTAACACAGCATCTCTGCACTGGAGCAGTGGTCGGGTGGGTGGTACCCAGCACACTGAGCAGCCTGGACCCAAGGGAGAATCTTATCCAGAGTTAACTGCCATCCTTTCAAGGACTCAGAGATAGAAGTGGGGCAATCCTATAACAGCTCAGCATGTACCCGAGGGATCATGGAAGTGGTCACCCATATGGGGGCAGCTTTACTCAGTAGGGGTACATCAGACTCTGAGAAGGGCATAAGACAAGAGTCAACCCAGTTGCCACCAGTTTCAAGAGCATATTTAGTTTAAAAATCTCCTTTAAAGTTCTATTCATTCTCTACATTTTCTGAGCTCTGAGAACAATACATACGAAGTTTCTAACTTATGTTAAGAGCCTTAGAGAGCAATTGAAATAAATTGGCAGTGAAGGCTGGGTCATTGTCAGACCCCAGAAATATGGAGAGACCAAATCTGGGAATAGTTTCAATTATCAAGTTCTTAGCTACCACATGGGCTGTTTCTGTTCAGGATGCAAAGGCCTCTACCCCAACCTATGAAGGTTTCAACAAAGACCAGCAGGTATTTGTGTCCATACAGTCCTAGCTTGATTTCAGTGAGGTCCATTTCCCAAAATTCACTGGGTACTGTATCTTGACCCTGTTGGCCTGGGGAAAGCATGTCCTTCTTTGCATTTACCTGGGCACAGGTCAGGCAGTGATCTGAAATGCTCTGAAGTTTTTCTCAGTGTCCAGGTATCCAGATGTGAGGTGACATAAGTTCTGAGACCTTTCTAGGTGACAAGTGCATGACAAGATGCAAGGCAATAGCCAGCTTTGGCCTAGTACCTTTGGCATGCCGATTCTCCCATCAGGTGAGGTCCACTATCCATGTGGCTCTCCCGACCTCCCAAGTCAGAGTATGACTTGATCTCTTCTAGGTCATACTCAGCAGGGCTTCCACAGCATGCGGAGCTATCACAGTTAAAATATGTCCCAACATGAGCTTCTCAGCTTCTTTTACAAGAAACGAAGTGGCTGCAATGACTCTTAAACAAGGGAACCACCCAAAGACTATAGGATTCAGTCTCTTTGAGATATAAGCTGTCGGCCTTTTCCAGGGACCCAGGGTTTGAGTCAGGACTCCCTTGGGAATGCCCTTTCTTTTATGGGTGTAAAGAAAGGGCCTAGAGATATTAGGGAGAGTTAATGTGGGGGCCTGTACCAGGGCCTCTTTTAAGTTCTTAAAGGCCTGTTCATGTTCCTTAGTCCATTCTAAAGGGATGTTGCTGCAGCCATAGCAGAGTGATTGGCAATTTCAGCAATCCCAGGTATTCAAAGATGGCAATATCCATCAGCTCCCAGACATTCCCTAACTTGTTTCTTGGTGATTGGAGTTGGGATTTGCAGTATGGCTGCTATGGGGGTGGGAGGGACAACAGTCTTTTTTCCTTTCTCTCAGCTCATATTCCAAGTAAGTAACCTGGGGTGAGAAAATTTGAGTTTTCTTTTTAGAAACTGAGAGGGCCAGGCAGATAACATGGCAGGCCCCTAATAACTCAGTTAGGAACTAGGCCTCAGTTCCTGCCTCTTGAAATTCAACAAGACAGTTTCTGAGGAAGACACAAACAAAGGACAATCAACTACCAATGCCCCTGACAGTGAGGCTGTGAAAAGAACTGCACATACCAGGACAGGGCCACTTCCCCACCCTCCACCCCCACTAAGGAGGTAACCCTCCTTACCTCAAGGAGATAACCAATTAAGCACAAAGCCTGGGACTTGTCTAGACTTGACCAAAAAAAATGGAAAAGCTATAGCCTTAGCCCACTCCTGCCAGCCCTAACCAATTAGAAACATACTAATATGATTGTCACTTGTGTAAACCAATCATAGATTGAGTGATCACACTGCTTTTAGAATTCCTCTAGTTGTTCATAAAAGAACCTCCAAACTTTTCTTGGGGGCCGGCACCATCTTTGCCTTTGTGTTGGATGCCCAACCCCAGCATGTTGGTACTTCTATTCTCAAGAAAATAAATGCTCTTGCTGATTGCATATGTGGAAGGTGGTCTTTTGTGGATCTTCTCCAGGACTCCAACAGAAGCTCTATAGTCTAATTGGGCTAGAATTTCCAAAAGGTCTCTGGTGGCTCTCAAACAGTCCTTCTCATCTATAGCAGTCAATAATAAATCACCTACATATTGAAGCAAGGTTCCTCAAGGCACTTACTATGGAAGAGATTTAAATCCTGGTTGAATGCTTCATCCAAGATGGTGGGAGAGTTTTTGAACCTTGAGGCAGTCTGGTCCAGGTTAGTTGTCCTGATATCCCCAGTTCAGGGTCAGCCCATTCAATGCCAATATGGGCTGACTCAGTTCTAACAGGGAGACAGAGAAGAATGCATCTTCTAAGCCCAATACAGTGTAAACTTTATTCTCTGATGGTAATAAACTGAACAAAGAATAGGGATTTGGAACAGTTGGGTAAATGGATTCTACCCTTTTGTTCACTTCCCTCAAGTCTTGTACTGGTCTATAGTCTCGACTTCCAGGCTTATGGATAGGCAACAAGGGGAGTATTCCAGCTGACTGACAAGGAATAAGTACACCTGCTTCAAGGAGGCACCTGATATGAATCTTAATCCTTTCCTTGGCCTGGAACTCATGGGGCACTGCTTGACTGGAATGGGCATTGCCCCAGATGTTAGGTGCACAATGTTTTACCAGACTTGGAGGATTGTCCTCTGCCCAAACTGTAGGGATTTCCTAGAGCAACAACTGTTTTTCATTTTCCTTCCAGGGAATGGGTTGAATTTTGGAGGAGCATATATTGCTCAATTATTGGGCAGGTTATACTTAAAGCCTAGCAGGGCCTCCCAATTGCAACCTAGTAGAGTCTCCTGAGAATGGTATTGTTGCCAGGAGCTTGTTCAAGAGGTCCCACCCCAGTAAGGGGTAGGGACATTCAGAAATAACAATAAAGAAATGAGTCACAGTTCCTTTAACATCCCCTGCTGCCCCCCATACTTCCATTGTTTGATTGGGGTCCTAGAGACTCCCATAACACCGAATGAGTAGCCCGTGTCTACCAGAAAATTTAGTTTATCCCTCTATGGTGAAGGTAACCATGGGCTCCTGGAGGCCTAGTTCAAAGGAGCCCCAGCCTTGTTAATCCTCCATAGCTAGAATTGGCTTGGGTTTGGGGGTGCCTACCTGTTTCCAGCATGGACGTTCATTTTTCCAATGGCCCATTTCTTTGCAGGAGGCACATTGGTCCTTTGGTAAATACTTCCTCTTTTTATCATGGGGTGCCTAGGCAGGTGCTTGTAGTGCAGCCACGGTGGCACGCTCCATCTTCTTTATCAGAAGATCGTTGCTGTCTCTGCCATCAAACACCTTCTGAGCTATCTCTGATAGTTCTGACCTGTTCTTTCCTGAAAACCCATCCATCTTTTGTATGTCCATATGTCAGGGGCTGACTGAGTAACAAAGGCCAAGTTAATCACCTTGAGGTTTGCCAGGTCCTCTGGGTCTATAGGAGCATATAACTGATAGGCGTCCAGGAGGTGCTCCAGGAAAGCTGAAGGCAATTCATCTGGGCCCTGTTTCACATCTGTGACCCTAGATAGGTCAGTGGGTTTTCAGGCTGCCTGTTTCATCCCTCCTAGCACAACCTGGTGGTACTCACTGAGTGACCTCTTCTCTGTGTGTTGTAGTCCCATTGGGGTCTCCATCTTGGCAGAGCATGGTCAATTGCCTCTGCCCTCTGGTTATCAGCCATTGAAGCTATTCCAGGGAGACCTTCAGTTGTTTTCATGAGAATCTGTGCCCCTTCTTTAGTGGTGAAGAGGGTATGGAGAATCTAAGGACAGCTGTCCCTCATGGAGAGATGACTGAAAAAGAGAATCAATTAGAGAAATTAAGGAATCCGGGCTAGTACTGAAAAGGAGGTTCTGGTTCTTCCAGTTGTAGAGATCTGTGGTCAAGAAAGGGACATCCAGGTAACAATTGTCAGAAAACGGTCATAGGGGAGCAAGGACTGAAGGAGGTACCACCCCAGAACCAGAATTGGAAGAGGAGTTGGGAGGGCCATATGGGACTCCCTGGGGGGTGTGGGAAGGGGAAAGACAGGGGAAGATAGGTGGAGGCAGGGAAGAACTAGATAGTGGAGTGGGGGTAGGTGCAGACAGGAGGCCAGAGTGAAGTCTTGGTGGTGGGGACTAGGATGGCAAAAGTGGAGGTTGAGGTGAGGAGGGGAGAAGAGGGTAAAGATGGTTATACGGAGGGAGGAGGGATTCTTCCTGCTGTGAGTCCTGCAGAACGGTATTCAGAGGGCGCTCAAGGTCTCTGCTTGGCCACCTTGCCTGTTATGGACCATAGGAACCTTCATTGAGGGGGGCAAGTTAGAAGCTGCTTCAGCCCAAGGTAAGATGTATCCAATCTGATCTGGGTGGATGGGCTTACTGAGGATGACATTAGTCACTGCCCAGGCTATCTGACAATCAAAAGTACCCAAGGAGGGCATCAACCCCAAATGTGGACCATTAAGTTTCATAGACTATTCGTAGGTGATGGTTGGTGATGGGATGATCACAATCCTCCTTAACTATAGGGGGTAAAATTCATCAAAATTCCTTAGAGCACAAGTTAGAGGGTTGTTAGGCTCACTATTCTTATTTCACATACTGTCCATCAGTTTAGTCACCCCAAGTCCAATATATACTAATTAACACAGAAAGTACAAGAGGCAGAAAGAGGACAGTAAAAATAAAGCCAAAGACAAGATGAGACATACAAAGACAAGACAAACATGGTGGGTGGTCTGAATCTCACTGGGGCCTCCAGAAAATGTTGATACCAATGTCAAGAATAAGACCACTAAAAAAAAAAAAAAAAAAAAAAAAATGAGAGCATGCCTTTTCATCTACTAATCTGCTTTTTTTCATTTTAGCATACTTTCAACTTGTATAAATGCATAGAAATCTTGTAACTATGAATTTTATGCATAGTAGAAAGGCATTCATAATGGTTCTTAAAAATAAATTAGCAGCTGTCCCTTATTTATTTCTGTTGCTGTAATAAACATCATGGACAAAACTATTTGGGAAGGAAAAAATACTTATTTTCGATGTTAATTTAAGGATTAGTTATTATAAGAATGTTAAATACTCCCATTATAGTAGACATTCCATGAACATGCGTACATGTGCTGCCGAGGGTGCAGTTATCCACGATCGTGAAAGCTTTATTCAGTTCCAGAAGCTTCTTTCCTCAACTTTTAGACAATGCAGAGTAGTCCCCTCTGTAAGGACACCAACCCCATACTTTGTAATACTACTCACTGTACCAATCAGTTCAGCTAACAGTTCAAACCAAACCTCTAGAGAATATATACCATATTTCAAACATATATCTTTTATTTGAAAAGCGTATGTCAATAAGAAAGAAGTAAGTTAATTATCAGTAAGCTGATTTGAGTAATATTGGCTATTACAAACAATTCGGGGACAAATTTTAGGGTCCCTTCTTACACCAGGAAAAAATACTAATGCACTACCAGGGGCCCCCTAGAGTGCAGAGGCCTCCTCACTGACATCCATGTTCAGGGGTCTGGATCAGACCTGTACTGGCCTCCCAGACAGCTTCTGGGGTCAATGTGCTCCCCCAATAAATCTTAAAACAACAACAACAACAACAAAAACAACCAGAAACAGATACTGGGGTTCAAGCTTCAAGCTGAAAATCAGAGAAGCAAAACAGTTGACCACATTCTTATCTCTACCTCAGACCAAGACAGCTGATCCTGTCTCCACAAATCCTCGGAGACAAAAAGCTCTCAGTTCCTGTCTCTTCCTCCTTATATTCCCTTCTCTGCCATATCACTCCTGTCTCCACCTCCCTAGTGTTGGCATTAAAGGTATGTGATCCCAAGTGCTGGGATCAAAGGTGTGAGCTCTGTTACTCTTCTTCAGTCTTCTTCAAGGGTGGCCTTGAACTCAGAGAAATCCATCTGCCTGTATCCTGCATCCAGGAATTAAAGGTGTGTATTATCACTGCCTAGCTCTATGGCTGCTGCGATTAAAAGTGTTATCACCACTTCCTGACCTCTATAGCTTGTGGTTGGCTTTGCTTTCTGATACTGCAGGAAGTCTTTATTAAATCATAAATAATATATCACCACAGAAAAAGGACTTTGTTATGTTTAATTGGTATTTCAAAACACCCTTTCTTGGCCCCCAGATGTTCAGAATCAAGTAATGCCACTGGCAAAAGAAAGAGATAAGAATTCCTGATGTAGGGCTGGAGAGATAGCTCAGAGGTTAAAAGCACCGACTGCTCTTCCAGAGGTCCTGAGTTCAATTCCCAACAACCACATGGTGGCTCTCAACCATCCCTTATGAGATCTAGTGCCCTCTTCTGGTGTGCAGATATACATGGAAGCAGAATGTTGTATACATAATAAATAAATAAGTTTTTAAAATAAAAAAAGAATTCCTGATGTAAGATGGGGAGATACTATTTTCATTATAGTAGCCATTGGTAAGTTGCTCGTGCCCTGATAAGTAATCCCCAGGTCATGCTAGCAGCAAACATCCCCAATCAAACTCAGTGTGTCATAAAATAAGTGAATAAATAAATAAATAAATAAATACATACATACATAAATAAATATGTCAAAGTAGTTGGAAAGAAAAGGTTCAGTGGAAATGGGAGGGACATGAAGAGGTAACTGGGATGAATATGACTAAAATATATTATCTGCACATATGAAATTGTCAGAATTAATTAAAAGAATTTCCAGATGACTCTTTGTGGCTAATGGAAACATAAAAAGAAATGCCATTTGAGAGCAAAACTTTTTCCTTTGTGCTATGTAATAAATATTATATGACATCTGAAATTTTTATTGTGTACTCAGATACATTGTCAATTTATCTTCAAGTGAATGTATGGGTAGTCAGACACTAACTGAGTAAAATAATATAAATATACAAGTAGAATTCTAAGTTGGGTGGTGGTGGTACACACCTTTAATCCCAGTACTTGGTAGGCAGAGACAGAAGGATTCCGAGTCCAATGCCAGCCTGGTCTATAGGGAAAGTTCTGAGAAAACCAGGGAGGACTACCCAGAGAAACCCTATCTCAAAAAAAAAAAAAGAAAAGAAAAGAAAAGAAAAGAAAGACACACTTATAGTTTGATAATACATCATATCCATTCTTCCTCTAAAAGTAGTAACTGTTATCAAGTATGAAAAGTAATTTATCTGGTAAACTTCATTCCAGACCAGCCTCATATTCTGTATGTAGCAGAAGTATTTTGTGTGTAGTTTGAGTTTTGTCACAGAATATTAAAACAGTGTACTCTCAAAGGGCAGACCACATAAAGTTAGCAACTTTTAGTGCTTCATTAGCAGCATCTGGAATGATACAGCCTTTACTCCCCCAAGGTGTGTGCTGGTGAAGAGCACAGCTGCTCACCTCATGTATCAATTCAATCCATCACAATGTGTCCATCAGGGCATGTGGGAATCAGTGAAGATGTCAAAACCTGCCCAGTCTTGTAACTAAGCCTCTAAGATACTTCTAGGAACTTTTGGGTGTCAAAGGACCACTCTTGAGAACTGCTGACTTACTCTGTGAGAATGTAAGCTCCGTGAGAATGGTGTGTTTGCTTTGCCCATTGCTGAACGATATTGTTGCTTCCCTCACAAACAACCTGTGTTGGGTACATACAAGGGCACTGGACTCAGTCTAATCCCATGGGGTTATGATCCTCGGGCTTTTAGAAGTGACTGAATAAGGCCTGGGACAGCACTGTATGTAACAAGGATGGGGCCAGAGACTAGGGATGCCCCAGCAGAGAAGAATGCTTCTGGGATTCTTGGGATCCTGCTGAAGCCACTGACATTTTGTATGGAAGTGTTCTGCATACAGTAGGATATTTATTACCCCTGTATTCCCCGCCCCCTTCCAATGTTAAATCCCTGCCATTGTGGCAACTTGCATAATTCTCAATGCCCACCAGAGGGCCTGTATTATCATGTCTTACACAGTTTGCTAACATGCACACTTTCTGATAAGTAGTGGAATTCAATACAGAGATCAGGATTTTAGAATTTATGGTTGGACTGCCTTATTGCATATAGGATCCATAGCACCTGGATGAGGGTGATAAGCTAAGGACAGACAACTATGTTTTTCAGTGAAATGCTACACTTGGGGCTGGCAACATGGCTCAGTAGACAAAGGTACTTGCTACCATTTGTGATGAACTGATTTCAATACCTGGGACCAACACAGTAAAAGGAGAGAACCAATTCCTGTACCTACCTCCACATTTGTGCACTGGCACACTCCACCCAACAAATAAATAAATGAATAAATAATGTTAACTCAAAAGTGAAACTGAAGGCTTTTTCATAATAAGGACCACATTTGTTTTTGCTTTAGAAAACAGATTCTTGTTTTGTTTTGTCCAGAACAATTACAACACAAACCTAGGCACACAGTTTGAGAGTTTGTGGTTGTCAACCAAAAGAAAAAAAAAAGGTTCAACTTGCTGCAAAGAGGAAGAAAATCCAAGGTCATGTGGTTAGAGCCCCCACCAACTCCCTACCCTATTGCCCCTCTGCTCCCCAGGGAAGTTGAGGTTCTCCATGGGGGATCCCCAAAGTCTGTCATACCATATGGGGCAGGGCCTAGGCCCTCCTCATGTTTCTAGGCTGAGAGAGCATCCCTCAACATGGAATGGGCTCCCAAAGTCCAGTCGTACCCCAGGGATAATACTGATCCACTGCCAGAGGCCCCATAGATTACTGAGGCCTCCTCACTGACACCCACATTCAGGGGGTCTGGGTCAGTCCCATGCTAGCCTCCCAGACATCAGTCTGGG